GCAGAAATTTTCTGAATTGGAAGCTGAGTGAGCATGAATATGGCCGCACACGTGTACTTGCGCATCGATCACGCTCACATACACATTCTCGGCTAGCGTAGGCTAGCTGTTGTGGTTGATTCAAAAAAGGGCAGAGGAAGCGTTCAAAAATCGTTCAAAAATACATAGGAACTGGGTATGATAGGGAAAGCTGGTCGATATAATGGAACAGAGGAAGTGGAGCATGAGAATTTAGTAAGTAGTAAAGAGAAAAGTGAGGAACGATTAAAATCACTGAAAGCGAAATTCTGAAGAAAATATTCCCGTTTCAAAGGCATTCTTGAAACGGGAATTTTTAGCAAAGCTACTGAAACGGGAATTTTTAGGTATGGAGCAAATGAGACCAGAAATCGGTTGTACATTGTGACGAGACTCGTCGCTCTCAATAATTTGTGATTTGACAAATATTTACAGGACGTGCTGTAATTCGACAGTTAGCTGACGAAATGAAAAAGAGCGATTCGAGTGGGTGTTGAGAGCCTCGTTCACTTGTGTGAAGCGTGAAAAAGCCCCGCTCGACGACGATGGCTGTGGGGCGACGCCGAGGCCCCCGAATGAACGACGAACGGCCTAGACGACATAGCACATAAGACGAACGACGAACGGACGAACGGACGAGCCGAACCTCCTCGTCGTACCCCCCCCCCCCTCTCCCGTCTCTTATTCAGGGGATGTCGGCTCGACGAGGAGGCGTGGTCGATGCACTTCGCCGGACGAGATAAGCACTTACTTGAAAATCCATAAATAGCGAGCTTAGATACACATGCTTTTCATATGGACTAGATTCGCTTTTTATCCAACAGCTAAAGTTCAAATTTGTCAATAAAAACAGAATTTCCTGCTTTCGTGCCCTTTCGAAGATGTTACATCCTCTCGAGCGAGGCACACACTTCATCAACAAGGGTATCATGTTTCCGCATTATTTATGACCTGAAAAGTTTTTTGATGTTGTGCAAAATTTTCTACTATAATAAGTAATGTGAAACTTGAAAAAAAATTTGTACATCTCTCCCTTTATTCCCATGCTTTCTAGAACTTCTAAGGATATTAAACTGAAGTTATTGTGTTTATCTCCTGCAAAATTCAAACTTCTAAAATTCAGTGAAAGGCTCCCTTCATATTTATAGAGTGAGCTGTAAACATAAAATAAAATAAAATTTCAAATTTGAGTGCGGCTATGCAAAATGCTCGTAAAATTTTCACGGAGAGGATAGAAGCCTAATTGCACCGCTGTTAGAAAGTACATGAAGATTTCAAATGATATGCAGAGTCTAAATCGAAGAACAAAATTCGATGGAGAAAAGTTTTTTGCAAGTCAGGCCTAGAAAAACGGACATTATTTTTGACCTGCCTAATTAGCACCAGCAGCAAAATGATACTAAAAGCGGCACAATTCTCTTTCTGGAAAATTTGGAATTATGCGAATGAGATTAGTATCAAGATTCAAAATGTGGTGTGACAGGACATTTGTGCAGATCTAATAAATGCTCTTGGAAAAAATGAATGCAGTTGCGATGAAATTTGTTCTTTTGTTTCATTGATGCAAAAAACTTTTAGTAGTTCAGTTACCCTATTTTTATTGTAGAAGGCTGCGTTTGTAAAAAAGAAATCAATAAGCCAATTTGCCCAATTGTAATAAATTCAGGCATTTTACGAAGAAAGTGTGTGATTTCATAAGGCCATCTGAAATTAGAAGGAAAAGTTTGTGAAAATACTTTGATCCTTTGTAGTAAGGATTATTGAGCTGGTTTGTAAAAATGTTTTTTTTTGAAATACTATTTTTGCGCAGTCAGTCGGACATATACACATAGTGCAATTGTCGCTTGTTCCGTATTTACTTGCATAATTGTGTATTTCAATTTTATGCTTGAAGAAGCGAGGATAGCCTACGATAGAATAATAATGAATAAAGCAATCTATATACGCACTGTACAACAAACGCATTCCTTACGATTTTCTTATGAGGAATTGAAGCTATTACACTGCGTTATATTCATAAAAATATCTTACTCTAAGGCACTACCTAAGCTTGGTCGTGTCAAATTGGATATTCAATGAAGAAATGGTGCATTATTACAGCAATAGAATGCGTGAAGACTATCGCACTGAGAATTCAACCTTGTGTTCAACTTAGCTCTCGAATTTCACTGCAGAAAAACAGGAACAGAGCCTTTTGCACGATGCCTCTCTTTACAAGAAAAGGAGTTTTTCGTGCAAAAGCCGGCATGTTTTTTATTTGCTTCACTTGAAGCAAATAAAAAACAAAATAAAACGTACACCTTCTCAGACCCAATGCATACCCCATGCAATTTCAGTCGCGGCGCGATTCGGCATGCAATGACTTTTCATCCCTGGGCCTAAAAGCGCTTTGCTCAGGCAAGATTTGGTGTGTTTGGGACATTATACAATAGCTACCAGCCTATATACCTGAATAGTCAAAGCAGCTCTCCACCGGAGTTCGCTGACATCCGCGCAGTATAGCCACATCTTGGTATAGAGAGGGCAAATTTTGAATCCAAGTGTAATGTTTGACTCAGCTCGGCGAAGCGCATCTTCTGATATGTGGAGGTACCCGTTTGAATATGTTGGACGGTAAGAATACACGAATCTTTCTAGACTTATGCTTACGGTAGGTTTTTCGATGTGCTTTGTTCACTGATTAACCTATCGAAGGCAAAAATTTAGAAAAATCGTAAGTTTTGACGCCTTTAATATCCTATAAGGCACCTCTGTATATCCAAAGATGCATCTCTCCAAAAGGTGCTCTTAGACTCAGAATTTGTCCACCTGAACCAAGATACAGGGCTGGGTACGCGGATGGTCGGCGTACTCGTATAGAGTCCGATGACTTTTCTAACTGATTATGAGCGGTATTGTATAAGATTGCGGAAGTTAGATCCATAAGGAACTGGCAAATGCCAAGTCGCGTAGTTTCAACAATTTATGGAACCATTAGAGGTATGTCTTGGGCCTCAGAGTTCATGCAAGAGATGAAGCCATCTAATTTATTAAAATAGTACCCTCACTTGAGAAAGGAGAAGGTTTGAATCTGAAGCGCGTATTGATATTACCATGAATCACCTGCCTCATAGTTTAGTGAATGAAACCCGACTCTGTGTAACTCATAATGTCAGACAAGAACAATTACCGCCCTCTGTGCAGCCCATGATGTTAGAGAGGATCAATCAGTAAACCAAACTGCATGGTACAATAGTTTTTACAAAAATGGTGTACACTTGAGAAACTTGAATACTGAACCGCGCTAAGCTCTTCGTAGGCTATGAGGCTCGACTATGTATGCGTGTTTGAATGTTGTCTAAGCGCCTGAAAACACAAATTAAGAATTGTTGCTCTTGTCAAAGTTTCTTTTCTTGGCGCCGTAATTCTGATATGATTTGTGTCACACTCGCTGCGTGAAGACGAAATAATAGAACTAGAGACGGACTGAGAAGGTAAGCAAACGTGGAAGTTTTAGCCCCGTCGCGACTCAATCGCCAACATTTCCATCCATTTTCATTTCACATTCAAAAATTTCGGGCTGGAAAAGTATCACAACCGAAATGCAAGTTGATCGGCATGGAATGATGTTGTAACAGTTGTCTCGTCGCGATTCAGTCGCGACGATCAAATCGCGTGAAGTCTGTCCGGGGCCTTAGACGCATATAGAGAAACCAGTGCGTCACCTCTGCTTCGCAGAGGCTCCCACTGGCCCTACTTTCTGAATGCCTTACTCATTCCCGCATAATAATGACATTGAAACTCACCGCGCTATGTAGGCTTTCACGAATAATTCGTAAACAACTGCTCATTCCTAGAGGTTTTCGTGTGAGATCGGTATTTTCACGTAGGTGAAATTTTTTCGGAAAGAACAGATGCAAATTTGAATAGGTTTTTGGACTTCTTATGGCTTGGTAATTGCTATACCGACAATAATCACCGTGGGCTTCATCTTTGGAAAAAATCCTCTCAAATGATCAGGTAAAACCTTGGCAAATTGAAGCTAACTTTAGTCCACTTTTCTGGCTAAAATTTCCTGCTTCCACATTAGCTTGTCGCAAAAATATTCAAGATATCGCAAAGTGGTGGTACAGGCCCAATTTTGCTGATCAGAAGCCAGACGGATCCGTTTGACGCGCAATTTTTGAGAGAACCACTCAAGGGCTCCGCTCGTGCTTTTGCACAATGAACTTTCATGATGTTAGCTTGCGCCATGCAAAATTTGGGCGCAATTTCTTGGCTGGAGCTCCTTCCGCGAAATTCGTGACAGACAGATTTTCACACAGACACACAGACACACATATGAGACGGCATTAGCGCGTTATTATATCAGGATGGGCAAGTGCTAGAAAGAAATCCGAATACTTGGTGATAGTTCAGTACTTCATAATGCTTGCACATGCACCTCAAAAGCATACCCCGACAGCCAGATCCGTACCCGCACTCCACATCTGTAGTTAAACACGCTCACTGCCGTGAAATTCCCTTCGAAGAGTTATTCCGGAGAATTGAAAACGAGATTTGAATTCCGCGCATCGAGACGCAACTGTGACGTACGCCTCATCCTCCATGGCCAGCGCGATATTTGATGTGGTTCGTATCCTAAGCAGGGCTCGGCAGGAGGTGGCCAGAGGAAAATGCAAAAACGAAGTCCCCTTGACTTTTGCGAATTTTTACGAAGTCCCCTTTGACCCCGACCTAATCTGTAAAAAATCTCCAAAAAGCCAAACGACGACTAAAAAGACGCCGCAAATTTTGTGTTTTTTCGGCCAAACGAAACCTCCTTTGCTTTTTGTCCCAAAAACGATATCCAGCTTGCTTGTAAGCCACCTGTGCCGAGCCCTGATCCTAAGAAGCTCCACTGCACATTTCGGATTCGGTTTCTCCATGTAATGAATATCCTGATAGAAGCCAAAAATTGAATCTATCGTATTCCATATTTTAACGTTCTATGCTGACGCAACTATAGAAAAACGTTCATTAACCTTTGCAGTTTGACTGAATTTACATATAAACAAACGAAACGATTATTAGCAACAATTGCATGCAATGACTATACTTATCGATTCAATATTATTGAAAGCTCTCTAGGAAATCTAAACTCTGTTCTTTATTCATCGTCCATCGATGTGCGGGTCATCTTCGGCACAGGATAGCCTTGGCGGGTATCTCTGTCGGGCCACTCAAATGCTTCGCCAAGCTCGGCTACTACAGGATCGTATTCATAGGAATATATTTGCGATTGGATGTACATTTCCTGAAAATAATTTATTTTCGAATTTGGCAAAGAAAACCCGGAGATTAAAAAAAATTCACCATGTCTTCGGGCTTTGGATGCAATGATGCTAAATTCTGCTCGTAGAGGTAATTACCGACCTGGAAAACAACCGATAAAAATGATCCTTTTCAAATCAATCAATTTATATGACTGTTGAGCTTCATATTACAGCTAAGTTTTTCCTAGCCAAGCGATTGGGTTTCAAACGAAAACTTTAGTGCATGCCCGAAAGTTTCATCAAAAAGCATTCTTCCGCCTTTATTGTAACTAAAAGTATGAACTATGCTCTCTTCTATTTTTATCTTTTTGAACAATTCAAAAGAATAAAAATGGAGGGAAGCCATTGGCATTCATGAGCAGCATGACGTCAAAAGGAAAGAGAATCTGACGTGAGCATATTTGACGACGCAAAATTTCCGCTACAGTTTTTTTTAATCTAAAAATTCTGTAAGCTTGGATCAAATTTCTTTTAATGCATTGGGCATCACAGAGTCATGCTTAACAGCATGACTGATGACGCATGCACAAAAGTGTCCAACTAAGCTCGCAATGGTTGTGTGAATACATTGCTTTCTATTTTTTTTTCTAATTTTTCTGCGCCCTTTTGTGTCTTTTCCGTCCTATAATTATTTGATTGTATTTCGGCACTACCTCTCCTATTTCGGCACTCTGATGCTTTTAGCGTTTCAAAAGAAAAGCGGAGTGAAAAAACATCAAATTACTCCAGAACTTATCCGAACTTGATTTCGTACGCATGAAGAATAATTAGAGAAGTGTGGGGAAAGTATTCAATTTGGTTATATTTATTTTGAGATCTGGGATATTTATCCATTTAATTCGAACACGAGCGAAACTGGCTTATTAGAATAGTTTTTCATTTGGAAATGGCAGCAAAACGGAGTGGCAAATATGAGATTGCGAACTCGCTAGGGTAACATATGAGAATTTCTCGACTGAATTGAGTAGAATTGAAATTCTACGCTAGCTAACCCTCACCCTCTCCCTCCGCCTACATTCAAATTACGAATTTTGTTCAGTATACTAGAACGTGAGGATTTCTGAACTTTTGAAATGAATGGACCTAAAAATTCACGCTAAACCCTGCCCCGCCTACGTTCAAATGGCAGGCGCTTCTTGCAGTTACTGTAGGTAGATGGTAAGTAGGTTATCAAGTATAGCAAAGCAAGCTCTGTATGTACGTGACCATCAGTCCGAGAAGAATGTTGAAAAAATCCAAGTAAAATTTGGGAAAACCACCAAACCTTCCCATACGGTATCCATGACCGTAGAGACTCGTTTGAGGCAAAATTTCTATCAATAAATTTCTACCGGATCCGCGTCCTCAGACAAATTTAGTTAGAACTCGAGTATTTGAAATCTTCCTCCGTCTCCATCATGTACGGAATGACCACAATAATTGGAGAATTTTACAGGGTATAGGAAATTGATAAATAACTCACATCCAAAGCTATATCAGCAGATAGATCACGAGCATTTTTCAAGGTATAGGAAATTGATAAATAACTCACATCCAAAGCTATATCAGCAGATAGATCACGAGCATTTTTCAATCGGGGATACAATCTTGAGTAGACGTTCAGAGACTTCTCCGTGACAGAAGCAGCACAACGCTAAAATGTCTCCCACTCACAACGGGCAACTTCTCCATTTAGGTGAACTCACCCTAGCTGCAATCAAGAACACATGATTGGGTATACGCTTAGCCTTAAATAGTATGGCTCCCAGAGCTACTCCAGGGAAGATGTAGGCGTTGTTACCCTGCCCGGGTTTGAATAATTTACCAAACATCTCAACGTTATCGAATGGAGATCCTGACGCGAAAAGTACTTGACCCTAAAAAAATTTATTTGTTTAGAAAGCTAAAATAAAAAGTAATAGTTAAACTCACATTTGTGTACTTATATGCATCCTCAGCCGTGCATTCAGCTTTGGCTGTCGGATTCGAAAGGGCAAAGATAATTGGGCGTGGATTATTTTTAGCCATTTCTTGAATAACTTCGGGAGTAAATGCACCTCTAACGGTAGACAGACCTGCAAAACAACTTTCATCGGTCAGTCATTAGGTTTTATAATTTTGTGTCACCTAATAAAGCATTTGGCTTAATCATTTTCACTATCTCGAGAAGGTTGGCTGTATGCGGTAGTTCCTGCAAAAAATTTGGAAGTTACCACTCTTTATTTGGTAATATGACAACATCTGATAGTCATGGTTAGGTTGTTCAGTGACAATGTAGGTAGATACAATTATATTCTTCTCCTGTAGCTTCTTGAATCACGGATTGATTCGCATTTTTTGTCAAGGAATACAAGGAGGTGTATATCTCGTTGTCATCGATGACATGATTATCTAGTACAACTTCTTTGCGTAAGCCGATGTTATGCAGCTTATTCCCAAATACTATTTTTTTAATAAGAGCCTAGGGTTCTAGTCTATTTAAAAATCGTTCCATAAAAAATAAAACAATGAAAAATGTTAGTCTAACTGAACACGAAGAGTAACAGGAACATCATATGCTAATTTAACAATTTAGCTTGCATGATAACTGCTACATAACGGCGGACGTCGAAAAATGCCTCATTGAAATATAAAATGGTACACATGCCTCCAGCGTAGCCACCGAAACGATCTTGAGGTATACAAACAAGCAATCCGGAGTTGGACGGCGAATATAATTTGTCCTGTCAGAGTCAGAGAAGCTGGTAATTCAAACGTTGCCTCCTGCATCAAGCTGTAATTTTGTTTCCTTTTTCTTTTCGAGTAAGTCCGGCTGAGGGTAGTCATTGGTGCATGTGAGAAAAATTTTGATCTCTGACATCTTTTTGAAAGCGTTATGAATCCCAACAGACAGTGTAGCACCGGAACAAAGACGGAAAAGAATTTGTAAACAATGTTGAACAGCCATATCTCATCCGCTTTTCATGTTCTATAAACTTGATATTGAGTTGGCATCACACCTTCTGCTTTTTCTACTAATTTGATTATAGCCATATCACAAACACGCCATGCGGGACGCTCGCCTCGTAAAATAATTGTATGATTTTGGAGCGCTCTCAGGCACATTTTTGTTTTGCAAGTATGTTTCAAACGCCCTCGCCCTCCCCCACACATGTACAATACCGCTCACATTTTTTGAAAAATAGACGCGAATGTATGGACATGTATGGACATGTACGGACATGTCCATACATGTATGGACATGTCCGTACATGTATGGACATGTCCGTACATGTCCGTACATGTCCATACATGTATGGACATGTCCATACATCAGCGTCGCGTGGCCATATCTCGCTTCAAGACGAATTCTGAATCCAAAGCCACCAAGCCACCATTCGATTCAGCTCGGCGCGGAGAATCATAACTTATAATAACGGGCTAAGGATGTTTACGTGACTTTGTGTGTCTGTCTGTGTGAGAGTGTGTCTGTTACGAAATTCGTAGAGCGTGTTCCAGCCAACCTCCTGGGCTCAAATTTTGCACAGTGCATGCTACCCGCATGAAAGTCCAGCATGCAAAATCACGACAAGATTCATCGAGTGGATCCCTCAGAAACTGCGCGCCAAACGGATCCACTTTGCATTTGAGCCGCAAAATTGGGTCCGTAATTCCACTTTTTGCAGAGTCGTGGATGTTTATGTCATGTAAATGTGCAAGCGATGAACTTAGGCCCAAATAAGTGATCAAAAGTCCATTACTTTACAAAAACGACGCCAAAAAGTATTGGTTGCGTAAACGGTCATTTTGCCAAGCTTTTAGCAGGACATTTGACGAGATTTTTGCATAAAGGTGTAGCTCACGGTGGCTGCTGTTCTTATTGCAACTGTCAAAACCATGGGAAAACCAAAAACCTATAAAAATTTGCGTTTGTTCTCCTGCAAAATGTCTCACCCACGCGAAGTCACCGATTTCACACAGAAAAGCTTTTGGAATAAGTAGTTGTTTACATTTTGTCCGTGATAGTCGGCAATGCTCGGTGAGTTCCAATGCCATCATTAAGCGAGAATGAGTAGGGCCTAGATAGCAGAGCCAGTGCGAGCCTCTGCGAAGCAGAGGTGACGCACTGGTCTTCTGATATATTGGAAGTGGGGGTACGATGTTTTCGATATTCCGTTTTCAGTTTTTTCAATTTGTTCTGCGGAGGTCCTTTCGCGAATATGTGAAGCAACGCCTACCCAACATAGAAGACTTTACTAAGTGTTATTCGATAATACTTTTCTTGTAGATTATTGTGCGCTAAAAAGTAGGCTCAGACTTCTTTTCAAAGGAGATAGAAGCGTTGGTGAAATTTGGAAAAATCACGCGTTCTTAAATTCTACTCGCCATAACTTCCTTCGGAACAAGTATATATTTAATCCGAAAACAGCGCCTTGCTCAGCTCATCAAGGCGAATCTTCTCATATACAGCGTGTCCTTGATATTTCGATTTCAGTACTATTGAATCTTTCTGAGGACGTCTTTTCGCGAAGGTGTAAAGCAGCGAGCATTGTCCCGAGCACATTCCAGCAAGGATATTTCGATAGCACTTTTTCTGTAGATTATAATGTGCTAAATATTATCCGCAGGTTTCTTTTTAAAGGAAGTAGAACGGCGAGTGAATTGTGGAAAAATCTTGTTGTCCCAAATTCTACTCGCCATATCTACAGGATACGAAGTTATCTTGCTAAGCAGATGTGAGTTTCGAAATCAGCAGGTCGCATAACCTCTACGGGCAAGTTTTCCGATATTTTCGGGTTATTCCATTTTTTCTCGTTTTACGCTCCGGAAGCTCGCCGATGGATTTTGGTCAAAATGTTGATGCTCTTGAATTGTAGGGAAACTTCGCTTATAGAGGTTTTCGAACACGCTCTTTACGAAAATCATGGTCTTCGAGGATTACAGAGTCTTTTTGGAGAGATACGGTGATGTGACTGTAACTGCATCACGAAAGTGCGCAACTTTGCCCGCACTTCTCGCGTATCTGTCAGAAAACTTGCCTGCTTGCTTTTCTCATTCAAAGTTACTAGGAATTGTGCTATCGAATGGTGCATTAATCAGGCTCTAGTCTGTGAAATTCGCCGAGTTACGAGCCTACGAAAACACGTTCTCTTGAATTTTGCCCAAAATGTAAAGATCGCATTCTCGTCGAAATTTCTTTGTGAGCGCTTGTATGACGCTCGTTGCAGATATTATGTTCGCTTCGTCAAACGACTCCCACTGTACTGAATATGGTGCTTGCGTCTGCTTCAGTTGCTCAATTGAATATCAAAGCTATTTCGTGGCTAGAGCCCAAAGCACCAAATCTAGCACAATAAGATTCATTAAAAGATTCCAGATACTTTACAATCTCAGAGAACGAATGTTTTTAAACGCAGAATCAACACACTTGATCTCTTACGTTTGAGGCATTCTGAGAATGAGTAATGAATAGCACCAATTCGTCATCTGTATTGCTATAGCTGGCCATGTGCGATTACATTATCCGACCACAAAATGCATACCAAATACAACCATCAATTTGTGTTTTTTTTAATATTATTTTCTCTCAAATGTCTTACTAACCCACATCTTGCTGTTACGTTAGTTCGGGTCTAATCAATTTACCTCTCTTCCCAATTATTACAGCTTGTTGACTTGCTCTTAAATGAATTACAAAAAGTGAAACTATTTGATATTCTTTCGGAGTCACTGGACTCTCCCCGGAATCATTTGGGCAAGGTTGATTGGTATTACTGCACCAACCGAGCGCCGCTTTGCTTCATTATTGCAAGAGCATCTTCTGCTGGCAAATGAGTTGGCATGATTGCCATCTCCATAGATTACAATAACCTACCCTCGATATCATCCCATATGTCTTCCCTCAACATGACGTGGATTACGTGGCTTAATGAGGCGCCGCCTCGCCTCGGGCTCGCGCCACGTTGCGAGCGCATCATTTGGCGCGACGTGGCGCTCAACACAACGTGGCGCAGGCTTTTCCACGTTCTTCTTGTTGCCACATCACGCCGAAAATGCGCACGCAACGTGGCGCAAGCCCGAGGCGAGGCGGCGCCTCATCAAACCACGTAATCCACGTCATGTTGAGGGAAGACATATGGGATGATATCGAGGGTAACTTGATCACGCTCACGTATGAGTTATCCATCATTACAACCCTTATTGAAATTCACTTGGAGTCACTGGCTCACACTTACTGGTTTGGTGGGGTCAGATAATATACCCACCATCAAACCTTGTTTGCTTGTTAAAATCAAAATATTTTGCTGGCAAAAGGGGCATGGGTACATCTCCATGAATCGCATCATTTACTTCCGATAATTATAATCATAGAGCAATCAAATACAAGCTTTCATCACATTTTTATCAAGATTAGACCTAAACTAATGCTGCACTATCGTTGCGGTTAGACTATGAATGACTGCTTTCTATTCTATTGTATGGAACACCAAGAGCTTGTAGAATAAATAAATAAATAAATAGAAATAAAGGATTTGATCAGCGCTTTGTACAAGCGCTCACGGAGAAATTTCTCCGTGAGACGTTTGACGAAGCGAACATAATATCTGCAACGAGCGTCATACAAGCGCTCACAAAGAAATTTCGACGAGATATGCGATCTTTACATTTTGGGCAAAATTCAAGAGAACGTGTTTTCGTAGGCTCGTAACTCGGCGAATTTCACAGACTAGAGCCTGATTAATGCACCATTCGATAGCACAATTCCTAGTAACTTTGAATGAGAAAAGCAAGCAGGCAAGTTTTCTGACAGATACGCGAGAAGTGCGGGCAAAGTTGCGCACTTTCGTGATGCAGTTACAGTCACATCACCGTATCTCTCCAAAAAGACTCTGTAATCCTCGAAGACCATGATTTTCGTAAAGAGCGTGTTCGAAAACCTCTATAAGCGAAGTTTCCCTACAATTCAAGAGCATCAACATTTTGACCAAAATCCATCGGCGAGCTTCCGGAGCGTAAAACGAGAAATGGAACAACCCGAACATATCGGAAAACTTGCCCGTAGAGGTTATGCGACCTGCTGATTTCGAAACTCACATCTGCTTAGCAAGATAGCTTCGTATCAAGACCTTATAATAACGGGCTAAGGGTTGTTTACGTGTTTTTGTGTGTGTGTGTGTCCGTCTGTTACGAAATTCGTAGAGCGTTTTCCAGCCAGCGTTCTAAGCCCAAATTTTGCACAGTGCATGCTACCTTCATGAAAGTCTAACATGCAAAAGCACGAGTAGATTCGATGAGTGGATCCCTCAGAAATTGCGCGCCAAACGGGTCCACCTGGCTTCTGTGCCGCAAAATTGGGTCCGTATCACTACTTTTTGCAAAGTCGTGGATGTGTTTGGTAAGCGAAAGTGCAAGCGATAGATTTTAGCTCGAAAAGTTGTCAGAAGTTCACTACATAACGAAAGCGACGCCAAAAAGAATTGGTTGCGTAAATGGTCAATTTGCCAAGGTTCTAGCTAAGCATCTGAGAAGATTTTCTCACACAGATGTAGCTCAAGGTAAACATTGCCTTTATGACGACTACCAAGCCATGACAAATTCAAAAACCTATTCAAATTTGCGTTTGTCTTCCTGCGAAAAGTTTCATCCACGCGAAATCACCGATCTCATGTGAAAAAACTTTCTAAATGAGTAGCTGTTTACATTTTATTCGTGGCAGTGGCATAGCGCGGTGAGTTCCAGTACCACGATTTTACGAGAATGAGTAAGGCACATAAATAGCAGAGTCAGTGCGAGCCTCTGCGAAGCAGAGGTGACGCACTGGTCCTGTAGATATGGCGAGTAGAATTTGGGACAACAAAATTTTTCCACAATTCACTCGCCGTTCTACTTCCTTTAAAAAGAAACCTGCGGACAATATTTAGCACATTATAATCTACAGAAAAAGTGCTAACGAAATATCCTTGCTGGAATGTGCTCGGGACAATGCTCGCTGCTTTACATCTTCGCGAAAAGACGTCCTCAGAAAGATTCAATAGTACTGAAATCGAAATATCAAGGACACGCTGTATATGAGAAGATTCGCCTTGATGAGCTGAGCAAGGCGCTGTTTTCGGATTAAATATATACTTGTTCCGAAGGAAGTTATGGCGAGTAGAATTTAAGAACGCGTGATTTTTCCAAATTTCACCAACGCTTCTATCTCCTTTGAAAAGAAGTCTGAGCCTACTTTTTAGCGCACAATAATCTGCAAGAAAAGTATTATCGAATAACACTTAGTAAAGTCTTCTATGTTGGGTAGGCGTTGCTTCACATATTCGCGAAAGGACCTCCGCAGAACAAATTGAAAAAACTGAAAACGGAATATCGAAAACATCGTACCCCCACTTCCAATATATCAGAAGATTCTCCGCGCCGAGCTAAATCGAATGGTGGCTTGGTGGCTTTGGATTCAGAATTCCTCCACTCTGAAGCGAGATATGGCCACGCGACAGTGATGTATGGACATGTCCATACATGTATGGACATGTCCGTACATGTCCATACATGTACGGACATGTCCATACATGTCCATACATTCGCGTCTATTTTTCAATGTGAGCGGTATTGTAAGGCATTCAGTCTTACGAAATCTTCCTTCTTTCCTTTCGCTTATCCATCATTTCTGTTCAGCAGTTGCTTTCATCACTAATTGATATGCCTTCCGCTTACACTAACTTACCTTTGCATACTGTTTAGCACGTGCAGTCAGATTTACAGCTTTTTCTTTTGTGACTAATCCTTTGCTATTGATGAGGAAGATGCGCGCTTGTGCTTCTTCCCTTGTAAGGCCTTCTTCGACCATTTGGGCTACGATCAGTTCCGATATTCCCAGCGTGGCCTGGGGCATTTTTGTTGAGAAAACCCAACTAATATGTCTCCGTATTTCTTACTGATCCTGCTCCAAGGAAGAGGATTTTCTGCTCGGAGAGTTTCTTCTTTGTCACGCGAGTTGTAGCCAGCAAGCCAGCCACAGCAACTGCAGCTGTTCCTGGAAATTATAATTTTGAGATGCTTTGCACATGAAAGGAAATGAATTGCCTTGTATGTCGTCATTGAATGTGCAATACTCATCCTTGTACTTGTCGAGCAAGGCAAACGCATTGGCAAAGGCGAAATCTTCAAATTGGATGAGAGTGTCACGACCAAAGCTAAAATTTTAGCTAGTTATTTTCAGCAAGTAAAAAAAATGTTTTTACCGTTTTGTGACTGCTTTCATGAAATTGTCGACTAGCTCCTCATACAGTGGACCTCGTACGCGATTACGTCGCAAGCCGATGTAGAACGGGTCATCGAGCAGTTTCTTGAAATGCAAGGAATCTGCTGTGTATTTTTTATAAGGTTTATTCCTTCTCGAAGGCGGGTGATATATTTCAGCTACAGCGCGTACGCGGCAGTCGAGATTTTCTTATCATTGAAGCGCTTGAGTCCGCCCGAAGTCGACATCCGCCCGCGCACTGCGCTCGCGTGCGCTTCTCCTATATGACACCCGCCTTCGTCTAAGATTAGGCTATAAACCTCCCTACATGGTGCATATTCTATACCTGGTTATTGGTGCCAACATCGAGAACTACGGGTAAACATTGTTGCGGTTGAACTCCACCCAATGCACAATAGAGTGCCATTTTCCCGACGGGTATTCCAATTCCGTAGGCTCCTAGATCACCCAAACCGAGAATTCTCTCTCCGTCAGTTACCACGATAGCCTGAATTATGATTCATTCAAGTATTGATTTACAGCTGCATTTGCGAAAATTCAGACCCGAAGGGCGTGATTGCGGATTGTCTGCGTCTCTTCTAGCCTCGTTCTCCTCTCACATTCTGTCACAAAGAGAAAATGTCAATAGGAGAGACGCAGACGTACCATGACGTCACGCGAACCACCGCATCATCTCTCATACTTCCCGTACCTGGATATTCTTTTCTGGCCAATTGCTCAAGATCTTGTAAATTGCACTAATGCTGTTATCGTTGATCGTGATGTAGAGACCCCTATGGATGTTTTTTGAGAATTGCATGGTCCATAAAAAGTGTAAAAAAACTAATCTTACTTTGGATGACGGTACATCTCTCCAAACCTCTGGCAAGCCATTCCAACAGTGGGAGTGTAAACAATTGGCATCAGCTCCTTGGGATTCTCGCATAGTACTCGATAGAAAAGCTTTTCCGTACGAGACTGCAGCGAGTCCAATATGAGGTATCTGGAAATGAGCAAGAGAGCTTTCTGAGTTCTGCTGTGCCAGGCTGTGATAGCGCAGCGCCAGCACTGTGTCAGCGCCGTTCCAGTGATTGATTAATGCGGGGTGCGCTTACAAGAGTGCCAGATCAGTACCATTTGAGCCCCGCGCCAGTGCTGCATCCGAAACCCTTCGTCGCGCTCCGCATCGATCGATCAATGGAACGGCGCTGGCACAGTGTTGACACAGTACCGGCGCGGCACTAGCACGCTCAACTTTGAGTGCAAGCTAAATCGCAGCTACTTCTGGACAAAAAACACTTCAAAATTTGCCACATACTCGAGAAATAAAAACAAAAAAAACGAGGTAGTTCTTTGTGCGTTCATGAGTGTGTTTTTTGGGAAGGGGAGGGGCGTTTCGTTAAGTGATAAGCGGATAAGCGATGCGGTTGCACTTGTCAGAACTTGTCTCGATAAACTATCGCCTACGGAATCTATTGCTGACATGTGGTCTTAATGATTGCTGACGTCAATCGCATAGCAATGACGCCTGATTGGTAATGAAAAAAATAGGGTGCAAATTTTTTTGTGCAATTTTTCCACTGCGGACATACTTTTGGAAGTCGTCATGCTCATCTCTGATGCGTTTCATGACTCGATATGCTTGTTGTTCTTGACTCATAAATGCAGGCGGGAGAAGGCCATGAATACCAAGATATTGCCTTTCTTTCATCGAAAATGCCATTCCCTGAAATTTAGTGCTCTTGCGAGTAGTTTTATAGCTATTCGATTCCAGAAATAGCAGAAAAGAAAGGGCGAGGCAGTTATTTGGCATCATAGATGACGGCTTTGAAAAGAGCCTTACCTTATTTAGACTGGCAGTAGTGAGCAGATTGTATCCTTTCTTGTCGGGAGTCACATGCTCAACTCGGTACAACTTTTCCAAAGCTTCTCGTCTTTCTCTGTCCACTACTTGATCAGCAGAGTTGACGGATAGCGTTGTAGAAATTGCCCTCACACATTGGGGTGACCTAAATTTACAATATTCTGTCTGAATGGACAAAAAAGATAAATTAAGGACTGACCTCTGACGCACAAGAGAAGTGAGCATCTTGAAGATTCTATCCTAAAATTCTAGCAAATTATATAAACAGTCAAACCGAAGCAAATTTCCACAACGTGAGGAACAAATTTGGAAACTGGTTGGAGTGTTAATGGGCCGAGTTCTGGTTTTCTTTAGATAGCGAATTTGAGTTAGGTGAGGAAAGTGACAGAGCAAATTTGAAAAAAGAGGCTCTAGCTAATTTTGTAAATTGAGGCTCTATAATGGAAATAGTGGTTAGTAGCTTTTTAGATAATCGCAACGTTTGCTCAAAAGCATTAAACACAAAACTAAAATGAAATGTTTTTCGTTCAAGAAAAGGGCTCGGGCTCGTTGTTTCTTTTCCTCTGAAGAGAAAACACCACATGACAGATGAATCATGCCTACAGAACTGTGCTGCATCAGAATAATGGAAATTTGCATATTATTACAGGCGAATCTTTCTAATTGCTCAGCACTAGTACTAATATGTGGGAGAAAACTAGTTTGCCCTATTAATGCAGAAATGTATTCAATATTCAAGCAAAGGGCTTAGTTTCCAAGCTGATTCCCCATACGAACTTTGGTTCCCTACAGCCTTCCAAGAAACTTTGAGCCCCTTACAAAGATCGCATATTTGGCAAATAAAGCAGCACGAGGGTTTCTAGAACATTGGAAACTTGTACGACTATGGTACGAACAACATCTACAGCCTTGCAAGGACAGTCCCATCTTCTTTCTCTTTCGGCCTTCGTTCTTTCTATAGTTTTTCTTTGTTCGCAAGCCAGGGCCGCAAGAAGTATTATGGTGTCTAGCCGCTGCATAGAAGCAATTTTTTGAAGGAGTAAATCCTTTCATTTTTTCTCGAGTGAGAGTTTAAAAAAACTTTTGAAATTTTTAGGTTGTTCCGCTTGAATATCAAGTACAGCTAAGAAAAAATGGATTGAATTTTTTGATAGAACCTGTGTGTCATATTCTGGTCACAGGGTAAGACCAGATTTTTGATATTCAGTTCAATGTAAGAAAACCTACTTTGCAGCTGCAGTTTCAGTAATTAAATAGTCAAGTGATAAAAACAGGCGAAGACAAGGAGGATGATGGAGGAAAAATGCAATAACTGAGTTCGTAAATTACAGACCAAATCAATATTTTCCTCAAAAAAGCAATATTGAGGTAGTCGTGATCACGTAGCCAATAGGTGATGAGTGGTCTGTCTACCTGAGTTTGTTGTACCTAACCAGAATGGATGTTTTACTTTTTCTAATTTCTTCATACTTGTCCTAATCCTGTTCTACAATCTTGACTATTTTTCTAGATTTATGATTGAGAAGACTAAGGAACAACTGTGCTCCCGATAAAAATATGCCTATGTCACGCAATACATTCTTGCCCATTTCAGCAGTTGCTTTATGTAAGTGTACTACTCTCAAATTCTACAATTGAGCGGGTTATTGTCGCGGCAGAATACCTTGGGCAGAAAAAGATGGGGAAGGGCCTGACATTTCTGACATAATGTTCTGTAGAGCATATTCAAAGATTGGTGCAATTACAGTGTTGGTCACCAAAAATTACTGTAACACACTGGGAAAAGTTTAAGTGACTTTAATGTCCGTATACCTAATCACAGCTTTTTCACTTGTGTGCACCTCAAAAATGAATTTGACGTTTCATTATTGTACGAAACAGTTTGGTGATAAAAAGTGATTCATATAAGTTCAAAATTTTCGGTAGATCATCGGAGTGAAGGTGATTACACGAAAGAGAACGGACTAAAAAGAGAAAGGTGGGAGTTCCGTATAGCTGCAGGATGTGGTCTAAGTGCAAAATAAATAGTTCGAGATTCACGTTGAGTATGTAGATAACAATGTTCATCAATCTTACAAAAAACTAGACAGGCACAAGTAGCTTGCATCGTCGCCGAAAAGTAACGAAGATAAAAATCTTTCTCTAGGTTGCTGACGCTGGATGACGGACTCAATAAGCGGAAATATTGAGCAAAATCCAATGTGAGCAGTTTTTTTGCTGTGTGAAAACAATTGCAAAAATATATTTAGTCCTGGATGTACTAAACTTCACGTTATCCCATAATAAATTGACTTTGAAATTGATATTTTTTGTTTTGGAGCTGCCCCAAATGATTATCTACATATTTTCAAGACTATTGTGGATTCTTTTTGTGAATAAATGATTAAAAAAAGCATCCTCGGAAAATTGGAAATACGAGTTTTGAATGGGTAACTTATAGAAATAAAACGAAGAGTTGAAACGATTCCTTGTAAGCTTAAAATGGCATCGAACCTCTATTAGTTACCACTTTTTCAATCAGTTTGAACAAGTGCAAAAAAATAAAAATTCCAAGAATTTTGTTCAAAGTCCGCAAAAAATGCATTGTTGAGAGGAAGAGGTTGCAAAGATTGTAGATAGATTTTACAAACGCTTTTATAACATCAGTACATCGTCTGAAAACAGATAAATCATACATAGAAAAAAATCCTTGTCGACTATGAGAAACATAAGAAAACTTTAGATTAGCCCACGTGATAGCGCTCTAACACGGAAGCAAGGAAATTTCCTCGGCCGATGCAATCAATTCGATGATTTGCTAGTTTTGATCTGCTGGCCTAGAAGGCTATGTGTCACTGGAAAGCATATGCAAGCGCGTATAATGGCATCCATAATTTTTTTGTTTCATGAAAACTTGTAATATTGAACGATACTATCTCGGTTGAGGTCGTTCCAAAAAACAAAACAATAAATCTCCACGAATAGCTTGAGCAGTCATCAAGATTGCGATCTACAGTCGATAGCCATGGAGCATGTCTTTGCACACCTGCCGCTCAAACTTCTTATTGATCGTTCTTATCGACAGCCGCATCCTTCTTCCAAATTTCAAGCATCTTTCTCATTTTATAGCATGACTTTTACAATTTCAATTTTTGACTTTCTGCATCCTTCCCATGCGATGATTGGAGTTCTCATCAATGCATGCGGCGTCCTGTGCCAACCGTGTGCCGACAATTCAGACATTTGGTGCGTGTGGCGCACCTTGCAACCACTAGCGGCGCGGCTTGCGACTTTATGGGCGTGGCCACGCGGGTCTACCTATATGCACTGGCCGTGAGCGGTGCGTACATTTTTGGTTCAACGGCGCGCACTACCTCAGACAATTGCATCGGAAAGTTCGCGGCCTCAAAGCGTGTTACATGGCGTGCCGCGGCCCTTGAAATTCCAGCAGCGCACGCCGCGGCTCATTCAAATTTTACCGGGAACGCCGCGGCCAAAGTTGAAATTGGGAAATGATTATCGGGCGAGCCGCGGCCCAATCACCTCACTCGGCGGGCCGCGGGTTTTAACAAAGGCCGGACTTCTTCACGCTGTAGGCCAAGGCGCAAACCGCATGAGGTACGCCGCAGTGATGGGGCTACCCTAAGTGTTTGTGAGGCTGGGTAGTCGCTTCTCGGGCTTTATCCTGTCTGACAGTTAAGTTTTTATGCTTACAAAACAGATCTCAGCAGTCGGATGAGTGTTATCGACGACATTTGATGATGTCGACAGATGAGCTAACAAGTTGCTCAATTTGCACTGAAGTCATTGTCATGAAAAAAAGGCCAAAAGATTTTTCACTTTTCCTAGGCCTCACAGGCATGCTAATCGGGTCAACTATCGGGCGCTTACAGGAAACGCCGCGTTCACCTATCGGGTCCAATATCGGTTTATACCGGGCAGCTCGCGGCATGGATGATTGGTGGCCGAGCAAGCACCCGCGAACTTCCCGATGCAGTTGTCTGAGTACAACACACTGGAAGCACGCATCGAGCATCTGAAAGGGCACCGGTCTACGATCTAGAAGTCACACCGCGCCCAGATTTTGTTCCTCACGAAAGCTCTCCGGTGCTAAGGTGGCACGGCGCCACAGTAGGGGAGTGGGAGGGGGGGGGGCAGGTACATGACTCAGTGCCATAAGTACACTGCGACTGGTGTGCAGACGGAAGCTAAGTCTTACGTCTCGAATGTACCTCGCGCGATTTCTCCAAATTCGCGGCGATACGCCTGGATTCGCTAGATGTCCGCAACCCTACCGCGTGTAAAATTCAAATGCATAGGCGCATAGCTTCTGCAAGCTTATGCGTACATGCCAAATCTTGCTTAAAGAGTAGAGCTTGCGGACAATCGTAGCAATTAAAAAACACGCGGCGACGGGGTATGATGGATCCCTTACTGTTGACTCGCGCGCAGCTTCGCGAAACCGTGACTCCTGACACGTATTCCCGGTGTTTAGCACAGGACGCCGCATGCAGTGATGATTGGAACAAATGAATGTCACCGGAGCGACTCGCGGTGCATCGCATTCCGCCTGTGCAGGCTTCCTGGCACATGGCAACGATGAACGTACAATCCGTGTTAATTATATGCTCCCATTTGCGTGTGCAGTGCCCATCCGCAACTCGAGAATCTTGCATGCGTAACTCCAGTCGATAAAACCAATTTGAATGCCAAACCATACGCGCGCGCCCGTGGCGCGAAGCTCTGACTGGCGATTGCGCTGATGGAAAGGGGATCACGCGATTGACGCAGACTGTCAGCTTTAGCAGATAGACGTCTCATGTCAGTGCTATAGACAGAACACCCATTGGCGTTTTGTCCAGAACTGCTACGATCTTGTTTCTGTAGCGAAAAATAGTTTGGCAGCAACACGGTAAGGAATAGTCTCGTATAAGAGTCTCATATTTGTTAGGAATTTTGGCTGCAACCATCATAGTCTTGCTCTCTGCGCGCAACGATTTGAACGCAGTTATCGGCAATTTTTATTTTCTGGATGTTTTTTGGGCTCATTTGTGGTGATGAATTCCAAGCATGCGGCAAGCACAAAGAGTATGTCTTTTCCAATATTCCAAATGTTTTTTGTGAAGTTTTCAAATGACTCTGCGGCTGTCGAACTGGCTTTTGGGACATATAGGGCTTTTCAAATTGAATATCATTTGCACAGCATCTCCATCTTCGCGCTGGACTCTGCGGTTCTTCCGCGGGGCTGCTCTCTAAGCACTTTCCCAGGGCGAGCGTGGGAAAGGCGGAGCCTCAATCAATTGGAAGTG